GAGTTATCCATGTGTTGTGCTCATCTTGTCTTCCAGTGTTTGTGAGTTATCCCTGTGTTGTGCTCATCTTGTCTTCCAGTGTTTTGTGAGTTATCCATGTGTTGTGCTCATCTTGTCTTCCAGTGTTTGTGAGTTATCCCTGTGTTGGGTTCATCTTGTCTTCCAGTGTTTGTGAGTTATCCCTGTGTTGTGCTCATCTTGTCTTCCAGTGTTTGTGAGTTATCCCTGTGTTGTGCTCATCTTGTCTTCCAGTGTTTGTGATTATCCCTGTGTTGTGCTCATCTTGTCTTCCAGTGTTTGTGAGTTATCCCTGTGTTGTGCTCATCTTGTCTTCCAGTGTTTGTGAGTTATCCCTGTGTTGTGCTCATCTTGTCTTCCAGTGTTTGTGAGTTATCCCTGTGTTGTGCTCATCTTGTCTTCCAGTGTTTGTGAGTTATCCCTGTGTTGTGCTCATCTTGTCTTCCAGTGTTTGTGAGTTATCCATGTGTTGTGCTCATCTTGTCTTCCAGTGTTTGTGAGTTATCCCTGTGTTGTGCTCATCTTGTCTTCCAGTGTTTGTGAGTTATCCCTGTGTTGTGCTCATCTTGTCTTCCAGTGTTTGTGAGTTATCCCTGTGTTGTGCTCATCTTGTCTTCCAGTGTTTGTGAGTTATCCCTGTGTTGTGCTCATCTTGTCTTCCAGTGTTTGTGAGTTATCCCTGTGTTGTGCTCATCTTGTCTTCCAGTGTTTGTGAGTTATCCCTGTGTTGTGCTCATCTTGTCTTCCAGTGTTTGTGAGTTATCCCTGTGTTGTGCTCATCTTGTCTTCCAGTGTTTGTGAGTTATCCCTGTGTTGTGCTCATCTTGTCTTCCAGTGTTTGTGAGTTATCCCTGTGTTGTGCTCATCTTGTCTTCCAGTGTTTGTGAGTTATCCCTGTGTTGTGTCATCTTGTCTTCCAGTGTTTGTGAGTTATCCCTGTGTTGTGCTCATCTTGTCTTCCAGTGTTTGTGAGTTATCCCTGTGTTGTGCTCATCTTGTCTTCCAGTGTTTGTGAGTTATCCCTGTGTTGTGCTCATCTTGTCTTCCAGTTATCCCTGTGTTGTGCTCATCTTGTCTTCCAGTGTTTGTGAGTTATCCCTGTGTTGTGCTCATCTTGTCTTCCAGTGTTTGTGAGTTATCCCTGTGTTGTGCTCATCTTGTCTTCCGTTATCCCTGTGTTGTCCTCATCTTGTCTTCCAGTGTTTGTGAGTTATCCCTGTGTTGTGCTCATCTTGTCTTCCAGTTATCCCTGTGTTGGGTTCATTAACTAGTAGGTATTTTTAATACAGTATTGAATGTTAATTTATATTTCTTCGAGTTGAGTCATCTTTTTATTTGCTATTATGTATAGGTGTGTTAGCATTCATATGAGATCACAGCTGACATTTTAAATTGTACATTTAGTAATATGAAAATTCAGTATATATTTGTATAGTTTAGAGTTTTCCTTATTCTTTGTCATTTGTTTATGAATTTTGTTGCATTAAATGCATTGTTACACATGAAACAGATGCAGAGATTGATGAAATGTTTAATGTTATAGTTATTTGTGGAAGGTGTGAAAAATATTTTGTTATGAAATACATAGTACTCACTGATGTTACTTGATGTTCTTCACTACATGTACTCACTGATGTTACTTGATGTTCTTCACTACATGTACTCACTGATGTTACTTGATGTTCTTCACTACATGTACTCACTGATGTTACTTGATGTTCTTTACTACATGTTACTCACTGATGTTACTTGATGTTCTTCACTACATGTACTCATGATGTTACTTGATGTTCTTCACTTACCCTGTACTCACTGATGTTACTTGATGTTCTTCACTACATGTACTCACTGATGTTACTTGATGTTCTTCACTACATGTACTCACTGATGTTACTTGTGTTCTTCACTACTGTTTCTCACTGATGTTACATAATGTTCTTCACTACATGTACTCACTGATGTTACATGATGTTCTTCACTACATGTACTCACTGATGTTTACATGATGTTCTTCACTACATTACTCACTGATGTTACATGATGTTCTTCACTACATGTAACTCACTGATGTTACATAATGTTCTTCACTACATGTACTCACTGATGTTATTTTGATGTTCTTCACTACATGTACTCACTGATGTTACTTGATGTTCTTCACTACATGTACTCACTGATGTTACATGATGTCTTCACTACATGTACTCACTGATTCTACTTGATGTTCTTCACTACATGTACTCACTGATGTTACATGATGTTCTTCACTACATGTACTCACTGATGTTACTTGATGTTCTTCACTACATGTACTCACTGATGTTACATGATGTTCTTCACTACATGTACTCACTGATGTTACTTGATGTTCTTCACTACATGTACTCACTGATGTTACTTGATGTTCTTCACTACATGTACTCACTGATGTTACATGATGTTCTTCACTACATGTACTCACTGATGTTACATGATGTTCTTCACTACATGTACTCACTGATTCTACTTGATGTTCTTCACTACATGTACAGTGGACCCCCGGTTAACGATTTTAATCCGTGCAAGAGGGCTCATCGTTATGCGAAATAATCGTTATGCGAATGAATTTTCCCCATAAGAAATAATGGAAATAAAATTAATCCGTGCAAGACGCCCAAAAGTATGAAAAAATTTTTTTTTTACCACATGAAATGTTAATTTTAATACACACAAACTGAAAAAGGCATGCACAATTACATGACACTTACTTTTATTGAAGATCTGGTGATGATTGATGGGATGGGAGGAGGGGAGAGCATTATCTTCTTACTGTTTAGAAGGGGAATCCCCTTCCATTAGGAACTTGAGGTAGCAAGTCCTTTTCTGGGGTTACTTCCCCTTCTTTCTTTAATGCCACTAGGACCAGCTTGAGAGTCACTGGACCTCTGTCGCACAACAAATCTGTCATAGAGCTCTGTACCTCCCGTTTCTTCAAGACTTTCCTAAAATGGGCCATAACATTGTCATTGAAATAGTCACAAGCACGGCTTGCAACAGCTGTGTCAGGGTGATTTTTCATCTATAAAGGTTTGCAGTTCAAACCACTCTGCACACATTTCCTTAATCTTTGAAGTAGGCACAATGGATTCCACAACTGGCATAGGCTTTTTCAGGGTTAGCCCCAAACCCTTCAAAATCTTTCTTAATTTCCATACTAATTCTCACCCTTTTTACCACAGGGTTGGCACTAGAAGCTTTCTTGGGGCCCATGGTCACTTATTTTCCAGAAACACCACCGAAAACACTGTAATAATACGAAATATTCCGAGTGTATGCTTGGATGTTACCGCGGAGGCTGGCTGGTAAACAATGGGACGGCCGGCACATGTGAGGGCACATTGGACGCGTCTCGGACGAAAATCGGTATGCGGGTTTTTAATCGGTATGCGGGGCAAAAATTTTGCGATAAAAGTAATCGTTATGCGGAAAAATCGCTATGCGATGCCATCGTTATGCGGGGGTCCACTGTACTCACTGATGTTACATGATGTTCTTCACTACATGTACTCACTGATGTTACTTGATGTTCTTCACTACATGTACTCACTGATGTTACATGATGTTCTTCACTATATGTACTCACTGATGTTACTTGATGTTCTTCACTACATGTACTCACTGATGTTACTTGATGTTCTTCACTACATGTACTCACTGATGTTACATGATGTTCTTCACTACATGTACTCACTGATGTTACATGATGTTCTTCACTACATGTACTCACTGATGTTACATGATGTTCTTCACTACATGTACTCACTGATGTTACTTGATGTTCTTCACTACATGTACTCACTGATTCTACTTGATGTTCTTCACTACATGTACTCACTGATGTTACATGATGTTCTTCACTACATGTACTCACTGATGTTACATGATGTTCTTCACTACATGTACTCACTGATGTTACATGATGTTCTTCACTACTATGTACTCACTGATTCTACTTGATTGTTCTTCACTACATGTACTCACTGATGTTACATGATGTTCTTCACTACATGTACTCACTGATGTTACATGATGTTCTTCACTACATGTACTCACTGATGTTACATGATGTTCTTCACTACATGTACTCACTGATGTTACTTGATGTTCTTCACTACATGTACTCACTGATTCTACTTGATGTTCTTCACTACATGTACTCACTGATGTTACATGATGTTCTTCACTACATGTACTCACTGATGTTACATGATGTTCTTCACTACATGTACTCATTGATGTTACATGATGTTCTTCACTATATGTACTCACTGATGTTACTTGATGTTCTTCACTACATGTACTCACTGATGTTACTTGATGTTCTTCACTACATGTACTCACTGATGTTACTTGATGTTCTTCACTACATGTACTCACTGATGTTACTTGATGTTCTTCACTACATGTACTCACTGATGTTACTTGATGTTCTTCACTACATGTACTCACTGATGTTACTTGATGTTCTTCACTACATATACTCACTGATGTTACATGATGTTCTTCACTACATGTACTCACTGATGTTACTTGATGTTCTTCACTACATATACTCACTGATGTTACATGATGTTCTTCACTACATGTACTCACTGATGTTACATGATGTTCTTCACTACATATACTCACTGATGTTACATGATGTTCTTCACTACATGTACTCACTGATTCTACTTGATGTTCTTCACTACATGTACTCACTGATGTTACATGATGTTCTTCACTACATGTACTCACTGATGTTACATGATGTTCTTCACTACATGTACTCACTGATTCTACTTGATGTTCTTCACTACATGTACTCACTGATGTTACATGATGTTCTTCACTACATGTACTCACTGATTCTACTTGATGTTCTTCACTACATGTACTCACTGATGTTACTTGATGTTCTTCACTACATGTACTCACTGATGTTACATGATGTTCTTCACTACATGTACTCACTGATTCTACTTGATGTTCTTCACTACATGTACTCACTGATGTTACATGATATTCTTCACTACATGTACTTGCTGATGTTATATGATGTTCTTCAATACATGTATGTATTCACTTTACACTGGGTGGTAACACTGTCTTCTTCATTCTCCCATGCTTACCTTAATGCAGCAGAAAAAAACGGCAGCAACTTCCTCCGCAGCTCAGACTCCTGACTCGGCTAATCTTAAAGTCAACCAGGTATTAATAAGTTGTCACTTACATAGTAGTTGTATTTATTAACTCACAAGATGGTTAACGAGTTTGACAATATATTTATGAATTTAGACTAGCATATAATACTTGCAGTTGACACCTTCAAAGCTACAGTCCATTGCTCTACAAGGTGATACCTCTACATTGTTTACACTTGCACTGCATTGACATAAGTTTGTGTTTTACACAAGTCTTACTTTACTTTCATTATAACTCAACTTCTACTGAAATTTTTGTCATGCATTTTGCTACCCTCTTTACATTTCTTTGTGGAAAGCTTTGTTTTGTTCTTCAAGTGATGCATCCCCTTTGTAAACACTGATAAACATGTTTTTAATTTATAATTTGCACTGGAATCTGAGTTGAGTGATGTTGAGTAGTGTTTTGTGTGCACTGGACAGTGATACCATCTCTTGACAACCAACCCACAATTGAGAGAGGAGACTTCACACAAAGTTTTAGTTCATCCTGAAGCAAGACTTAACCCTTTCAGGGTTGACAGGCCCTCTCCTAAACTTGTTCCCAGAGTCAGAAATTTCTCAGGAAAAAAAAAATTCTTATGAAATGATAGAGAATCTTTTCCTGATCATAATGACACCAAAAGTATGAAATTTGGTGGAAAACTTAGGGAATTATGTTCTCGTGAAGTTAGTGGTCTCAACGATGTTTACGCATCAGCGATTTTGTCCACTTTGAGCCCTATTTTTGGCCAATTCCAGTGTACCAGTCGACAAAAATCATACTTATTTCGCTAGAACGCTATTTTTCTATCGAATGAGTACAAGAAACCACTCATTTACCGATTTCAGCTATCCAATAAAGTGGTCAGAAATTGGCAATTTTGCCAATTTCACACAAATTTCAAAAGATGCCAATTTCCAAATAGAGCCCAGAATAAATAAGACAGATATTTGTGGCACTAAAATAACATTTCCTCTGTTTATTACTCATGTCCCCAGGCCTCTGTTACATTTCTTTTGCTTTCCACTATGAATTTTTATTCTCACAAAAAATATAAGAATTATGTTATGCAGACTACTACATTAGTGTAGAAATGGTATAAATAATATCAGTGCACTTGTGAAAGAATATTAGACTCACCAGTTGACGTGTATTGGATGCTTGGCATGATTTGTTTACCTTTAAACTTTGGCAAAAATCGAACATTTCTGCTACTTTGAGCGCAAAATTAAGGTAATTTTCATTGTGAAACCAATCAAAATCATCTCAATTTCTGTAATATGTCTTCCATTCTATAAGATGAGACCAGGAAAACTAGAATACAACCATAAATAGCATATGAAAATACACTAAAAAGTCACTGTTTTAAACCAAAAACACGGTCGGAGTTTGTTTTTTCTCATTGTGTGCTGCAGGATTTTTTTTTATATTGTGCACACTGACCACATAGACCCATTCTTTCATATGTAGGCCTACCAGCTTTCTCTCGCTAGATTTGAAGGCGCTAGAATTTATGTGCACTAGTACGGCACCAACCCTGAAAGGGTTGAGTGTGTTATTGGTCTTGAAGATTTTTTTTTATTTTTATTATCACACTGGCCGATTCCCACCAAGGCAGGGTGGCCCGAAAAAGAAAAACTTTCACCATCATTCACTCCATCACTGTCTTGCCAGAAGGGTGCTTTACACTACAGTTTTTAAACTGCAACATTAACACCCCTCCTTCAGAGTGCAGGCACTGTACTTCCCATCTCCAGGACTCAAGTCCGGCCTGCCGGTTTCCCTGAATCCCTTCATAAATGTTACTTTGCTCACACTCCAACAGCATGTCAAGTATTAAAAACCATTTGTCTCCATTCACTCCTATCAAACACGCTCACGCATGCCTGCTGGAAGTCCAAGCCCCTCGCACACAAAACCTCCTTTACCCCCTCCCTCCAACCTTTCCTAGGCCGACCCCTACCCCGCCTTCCTTCCACTACAGACTGATACACTCTTGAAGTCATTCTGTTTCGCTCCATTCTCTCTACATGTCCGAACCACCTCAGCAACCCTTCCTCAGCCCTCTGGACAACAGTTTTGGTAATCCCGCACCTCCTCCTAACTTCCAAACTACGAATTCTCTGCATTATATTCACACAACACATTGCCCTCAGACATGACATCTCCACTGCCTCCAGCCTTCTCCTCGCTGCAACATTCATCACCCACGCTTCACACCCATATAAGAGCGTTGGTAAAACTATACTCTCATACATTCCCCTCTTTGCCTCCAAGGACAAAGTTCTTTGTCTCCACAGACTCCTAAGTGCACCACTCTTTTCCCTCATCAATTCTATGATTCACCTCATCTTTCATAGACCCATTCGCTGACACGTCCACTCCCAAATATCTGAATACGTTCACCTCCTCCATACTCTCTCCCTCCAATCTGATATCCAATCTTTCATCACCTAATCTTTTTGTTATCCTCATAACCTTACTCTTTCCTGTATTCACCTTTAATTTTCTTCTTTTGCACACCCTACCAAATTCATCCACCAATCTCTGCAACTTCTCTTCAGAATCTCCCAAGAGCACAGTGTCATCAGCAAAGAGCAGCTGTGACAACTCCCACTTTGTGTGTGATTCTTTATCTTTTAACTCCACGCCTCTTGCCAAGACCCTCGCATTTACGTCTTGAAGATGCCATATTAATATAATAATAATAATAACACAATAATAATCATATTATTATAGACATTTTGCTTAATCCATCTATGATTTTTTTTTTAAATTATATAATAAACACGCTATGTAACATATAAATTAACATAAATATTAGATGTTTTTCCAGTTGGCTTGACAGCGTGAACAGAAACGATTTGTGTCCGGGCTGGCAAGAACAACAACTGGTTTGTTTACCAAACTCGCGAACCTTCTACACTCAAATTCTCTCTTTTATTCATTTAATCTTGTTTACTCACCTCTCACTCTACATTAAGACTACAGATATTTTAAGGTAAGTAATGAGTAAGCACTATATTATATTATAGTTTAATAATATTATTATTATTATTAATATTAGTACATATGTATTATTGTAATAATAATACATAATAATAATTATTAATAGTGTTATTAATTTAGGGCACTGGAGCACAGATCCACTGTATAGCACTTTGTCTGGATTATTTGGGTTATCCAAGGTAATTTATACTATGTATGATAACTTTACTTACGTGTATCTGTGAGAGAGAGAGAGAGAGAAAGAGAGAGTGAGAGAGAGTGAGAGTGTGAGAGAGTGAGAGTGTGAGAGTGTGTGAGAGTGTGTGAGAGTGTGTGAGCGTGTGTGAGAGTGTGTGTGAGTGTGTGAGTGTGTGTGTGTGAGAGTGTGAGAGTGTGAGTGTGAGAGAGTGAGAGTGTGAGTGTGAGAGAGTGAGAGTGTGTGTGTGTGTGTGTGAGAGAGTGAGAGTGTGAGAGAGAGTGAAAGAGAGAGAGAGAGAGTGAGTGAAAGAGAGAGAGAGAGAGTGAGTGAAAGAGAGAGAGAGAGAGTGTGTGTGTGCATGTGTGTGTGAGAGTGAGTGAGAGTGTGTGAGTGAGAGAGTGTGTGTGTGTGTGTGAGCGTGTGTGCATGCGCGTGTGCATGCGCAAGTGCGTGCGTGTGTATGCATGCATGTGTGTGTGGGTGGGAGGGGGGGTCCTGGCCCTGTCTTTTCACTGGTTGCTACTAGGTCTACTCCTTCTCTGCCCCATGAGCTTTATCAAAACCTTTTTTCTTAAAGCTGTGTATGGACCTGCTTCCACTACATCACCTCCAACTATTCCATTTCCCTACAACTCTATGGCTGAAGAAAATTTTTTAACATAGGTAGTGGGTTTGGTGACACAACCCCCCGGGGAAGAACTCCCGTCCCCCAGATGACTGTGAAACAAAAACCTTAACTGTTTTGCATGAGGGTAAATTGCTTTTTCTTTTTTCTGCCTCAAAACACGTAAGAAAACAGGATATCTTGCTACTCCAACTTACATTTTGGGTCACACTTCACAGACACGCACATGCATATTTTAAAATACAACACTAGGTTTTCTCCTTTTTCAAATAGCTTTTTGTTTTTTTTTATTTCTTCTATTGTCCAGGGGAAGTGGAAAAGAATTTTTCCCCCGTAAGCCATGCTTTTCAATAGGCGACAAAAAAGCCGGGGGGAAAAGGGGTAGTAACCCCTTCTCCGATACAATACTAAAAAAAAAGAAGAAGAAAAAATTTATAAAACGGGTTCTTAAAAAGTGCGTGGGTGTAGTGCGGGTGACAAAAACAGATGTTGCGATGTATGAATGAAAAAAATTGGATTCCTGGCCCTAAGCGAAACAAAGCTGAAGGGGGAGGGGAGTTTCAGTGGGGGGGAAAAAATGGGTTAAATCTGGGGTATCGAGAGAGTTTGAGCAAAGGGAAGGGTAGCGTAATGTTAAATATCAGTTATGGAAGGAGAAAAGGAATATGAATTTAAATTCAAGAATTATTGGAATTTAAAATAAAGGTTGGATGCGAGAAAAGGCCTAAAAGCGTTATGCACCTGAAAGAGAGGAAAAGCAGGGAGAAGAGAGATTTTGGGAGATGTTAATGAAGTATAGGACCTTTTAACCAATGAGAGAGTAATTGTGGGAGGGGACTTGAATGCAAAAATAGGAGAAACTTTTTGAGGGGTGGGTAGGTAAGTTTGGGGTGCCCCGGGGTAAAAAGATAATGGGAGCCCTTTGATTGAACTTTGTATAGAAAGGGGTTTAGTTATAGGTAATACATATTTTAAGAAAAAGAGATAAATAAGTATACACGATATGATGTAGGGCGAATGACAGTAGTTTGTTGGATTATGTATTGGTAGATAAAAGACTGTGAGTAGACTTCAGGATGTACAATTTTATAGAGGGGCCACAGATATATCAGATCACTTTCTAGTTGTAGCTACACAGAGAAAAAGGTAGATGGATAACAAGGAGAATAGAAGCATCAGGGAAGAGAGAGGTGAAGGTTTATAAACTAAAAG